AATTTTTTAAGGTTACAATGACGTGATTATGATCTACGTGACACGTCAATTTTGGTCATATAATTTGTCAATTTCATCAATTTTGGTCATTTTTTCATGCCACGTCACTTTTTTTTATCCAGGGTACGGATAAAAAAGGACCAAAATTGATGAAATCGACAAATTATAGGATTTAAATTGAAAGTGGTCAATATATGGGTGGTTTTTTGAACAGTGACCAAATTATATAACCAATTTTAAATTTTTACCATTATTTATATTTAGAATGAGATTGTCGGATGACTCACCCTTCCAAAATCATAATATTTTTTAATTTATGAATGTCGAATTCGAGCTCTATATCATAATAATTTGTCTATTTCATATTATACAGTGAACTTGATAGATAAATTCTACATAATTGAATACATAGATTCTACATAATTAATAATACTGTTAGTTTTTTCCAATTAGATTCTTAGATAATTTTAATTTTTATTTTAAATATAACTATAATTATTTATTTATTTATATTTTGAATGTGAGTGTCAAAACAAAACTCGTCAAAATATTACTAATGTGATATATCATTTATGAAAATAAAGTTGATAACTATACATAGTTTATTTATTAACTGTTAATAAATATATTACAGATAATGTTATGTTGTGTCATTTAATTAATCATCTCTATAAAAAAAAACCCACATTAATATAAAAATATTATAAATTTGTCAAAGCATTATCAAAAGTGCTCATTATGCTAATGACTAAAGCGATACTAATATGTGCGGATAATTATAATAATAATAATAATAAATCATAATGTTACAAATTCAGATTTATTGGTCCATCTCAAACGTGTACGATTATAATTGGTTCTCCTGTTCCTGTACATCTAATCCTCTCCTTTTAATTACTAGTTTAATCAAATTCATTTGGAGTCAACCAAATCATCCTAGATTATGTTGACCAATAAAAACAATTATATAATTAAATAAATATATCCTACCTTTTCTCACAGGGAGCCAATTAAATATTAATTATGAAATGAATAATTAAATACAGTTCCCTGGCCACCCACTGATCTGATGAGGGCAATTCTTAGATTTCACACAAGATACAGAGGGGCAAAAAAGCAATTTAATAATATACTTTAATGGAAGATTCTACGGTTTCGTTACGGAATCATTCTGTCGAGATTTGTAATCATTAAATCATCTATTCACGACGATTATATGATGATCTAACGGTTACAAATCTCGACGGAATGATTCTGTAACGGTATTATAGCATTTCCCATAATTTAATTAGTCCATCAAATTATATATATCTTTTTTTTTTTAATATAATATAAATAGAAGCTGGCCAGTAGGCAGTAGATTAGGGTTGTTACTTGAGTATGACTACGTGATACTGATATATTGAACATACAAATCATGAGGAGATTTAATTATCTAATGTAATTTTTTTTTTTTTATTAATGGAAGTGAATATTAATTAATTAATTACTTTGAGAATTTACCCAGTGCATACCTTAATAATTTTTTTTACTTTTAATATATCTATTTTTGGAAAATAAATAACAGAAATATAATTTGTATTATATTATATTGTATCATTATTATGTTATTATTACTACTCATTATTATTGTCCTTAAGTGATCACAAGTGACAAATCATATCATATACTACTAAAAATCACCACTTACCAGAGAACTGATTTAATCAGAGAAGGTTCCAAAACTGAACAATAACTTCTATTTCATAGCATGACATTTACTAATCCCCTTCATTCTTGAAATCACATATATGCACAATTTTAACAAGATAACAAACAAATCTTTTGACCAAAATATGCAAAACTCCAATAGTTTGTTAGACGATAATTTTTTGAGTATGTGCAATTCGATCACGTATAATTATACCCTGTTAGTGTATATAATTCATAAATAATATCAAACGACACATCTCGCAAACAACAGTGGTGTAAAAGTTACTACGAAATCAAATAGATACCTAAAATCAGTGCCGACATAAACACCAAAACGAAACTAAATCTTACTCCAAATCTTGAGGTAATTAAAGTAAGATTTTATGCTTGACTCACTTTCTCATTAGTTAATTAACTCTAGTTACTCAAACCACTTTGCATAGTCATTAGGGGGTTAACCACTTCTTTTTTCACTAATACACTTCTATAATTAATGATTGCTTTCCAAATGATAGCTCCCTCATCCCAATTGAAAACAAAACAATGAAATATAATACACATAAAAAAAAGAGCATCATAGTTATTACACTTTGTACCATTAAAAGCAAGAAAAAATAGTCTTGCCTAGGTAAGAAAAATGATTAAACAAATAAAATAAAATTAAATAAAATAAGAGGAGAGAGAGAGAGAGAGAGAGAGAGAGAGAGAGAGATCAACTAAAGCACTTTTCCTCTCATTGGACCCATACCATGTCTCCTCAATAGACTCTTTGATTTGATAATTACCCACTTCAAAATTCCTTTGCTCATTTTGCAAAAACCATACTCAAGTCCCCCACACCACACCAAGAACCATCTCTAATCCCTTTTAACATCTATTGCCACCAATAATTCTTTCCTCCTTAGAAAAACTCCTTCTACAATTTTTAAAAATATATATATATAAGAAAAAAAAAATGATGCCCAATGATCCCGGCGGGTCATCTGGCTCGGCCGAGGCAGCAATAGCAGTTTCTGCTGCCTCGACCGATCACCACCGCCACCAACCTCAACCTGCCCAGCTCAGTCGATACGAGTCACAGAAACGTCGGGACTGGAATACGTTCGGGCAGTACCTCCGGAACCAACGGCCGCCGCTCGCCCTCCACCAGTGTAGCTACACACACGTGCTCGATTTCATGCGGTACCTCGACCAATTCGGGAAAACCAAGGTCCACGCGCAAGGGTGCGTTTTCTTCGGGCATCCCGACCCGGCAGGCCCTTGCACCTGCCCGCTCAGGCAGGCGTGGGGCAGCCTAGATGCTCTCGTAGGCCGCCTCCGAGCGGCCTACGAGGAAAACGGTGGGCCTCCCGAGGCAAACCCGTTTGCCAACGGGGCCATAAGGGTTTACCTTCGGGAGGTGAGGGATGCCCAGGCCAAGGCCCGAGGAATACCCTACAAGAAGAAGAAAAAGAGGAGGAGGCCCAATAATGGTGGCGATCAAGCCGGGCCGTCGGCTTCGTCGTCGGGCTTTCACCATCAGGCCCAAAGCTCCGGGATGTGACGGTTGCTTGCGGAGTGGAATCAGATTGCCTGTGACGGTAATTGAATTATTTAATAAAATTTCTTCTTTTTGTCATATATATTTATATTGGTAGTATATATGATTTTGGTTAATCATTGAGTACTATTGAATATTCTGAGCTGCTGGATTATAATTATTATGATTATTATTATTATTATTATTTTGTTTTTTTGGTACTATTTACTTTTGTACTGTGATTTTAATGTTTGAAAAATGTAAGGATTTCTTGTGCTTATTTGGATATAATCAATAAGTTATTTATATTCATATGATTAATCAAACCAAAATTATTAATTTGGTGTAAGTATACAAGTACGTTACGTTTAGGTCTATTGTTAACTCATTATTTGGTAAAATTTTCCCAACGGGTGCTAAAATGCGCGGCATCATGAAATTCTTATCATCTTCTTTAAGAACCCTACTATATAAGGCTCTGCTAAAACCCTAATTTCTTCTAAGATATTATATATAGAGAGGGAGAGATCAGTTCCTTATGATATGTTTGGAAATTTTGAAATAAATGCCCGATGGCGTTCGACTAACGCGCACCAATATGGGTGTGTGTATGTGTGTGTGTGATCTGACGACTCAGAAGTCGGAAAATAGGGTCGAATTAACTTTCATACACACAGAATCCCTAAGGGGAACTGCACATCAAAGGAATTCTTTTTTTCTTTCTTAATTAGTTTTTCTAATTATGATTATTTGGTTTTGATTTTAACTAAGAGGTATTTGATTTTTATTTTTAATTAGTATATAATTACTTAATAATCAAATGATAATGTCAACTTTCTGTCCAATCTTCTTTGTGTTTATTATTTTATCTTTTGGATTCTCCATGATATGTTGCTCGTCCTCACCCCAGCAGCGTGATCTCACCCTTAGTTCAATTATGGAGCACAAAATCTATAGGACACTATGGAATAATAATAATAATAATCTAATTAAAGACCATCATAAGGTTAATTAATTATTTAATTAATTTTTATTCATTTTTCTATAACAGACAGCTAGCTAGTAGCTTAGTTAGATTGAGTACATTTTTTTTTTAATTTTAAATATTTTATACCTCTCTATTGGCTCCAGCCAAAACCCTTAGCTCATTAATTATTAGTCAAATTTAATTTAATTTAATTCCATTCACATATATATCTACATTCTCGTTACGGAACCATTCCGTCGAGTTTGTAATCGTTAGATCATCATGTAATCGTCGGAGATAATTGATCTAATAGTTATACAAATCCCGACGGAATGATTTCGTAACAAAACCGTAGCATTTTCATATATATATATATATTTCATTTTCAATAGGATATTGGACATATTTCTATGGTACGTCTCTTTCTTTCCAAAAGTAACGTCATTTGTCCTTTTGTCTCTTCTCCACAAATATCAATTATGATGAGTCTGTTTGCTGTGACATTTTTGTGAAAAAAAAAAAAAAAAAAGTATTTAATAATTACCGGAATTCTAGTCGGTGTTAATCAGTCAGTCCTTTTTTCTGGGCTAAATTAGCTCAAAGATACGTCTTTTTTTTCTACCATTTTTGTTCAAACATTGAATTTAATTTGACATGAAAATGGGCCTAATGATATTTACTACTACATGACCGAAGCTTGTGCTCGTTTATTTTTCCTTTCTATCTCATCTTCTTATTATTATAATGGATCAGTGTGAATTGGGAGCTCAATTCATCTTAATTATGTATTGATATATATGACACTTTTAGCAATGTTGGAGCTCAATCCAACTATTTTAATTATTCTTGTACTAATCTACATTATATTATTTTTTTTTTCATTCATTTATATTTTTTGGTTAAGATTATTGTTAGACAGATCTAACGGTTAAGTTAAACATTCATATTTTGTGAACAGATCATGTGCATATTTTCAAATTAAAATATAATAAACAAAATTATGATATGTCATAGTATAATTAATTTGTATTTTTGTTAAAATTGATGTCACATTTTATACTATATATAGTTGGAGCTGGACTTGGCCCTTGAAGGTCTCAAGTTACAATTCAAATGGCGTTTAATGGAAATTATTCCTAATGTATGTAAATTCGTCCACAATAATTCAATCCTGCAACATTTCCTTTGTGAGCCAGCCTTTTACATAAAATTGAATTATGCTGGAATTCTAATGGTTCAGCTGCTTTTCTGTCATATATATATTCATAACTGACATCATCCAATTCAAGACTCTTCATTGTACATCAATTGTTCGGTGCATTCCATATATGTGTCAAATACAATAAAGCGTTTTACGGGTCGGGTTTTATGGGTCAAGTGTTGGAATTAGCTTAGTAAAGTAGGTATTCATACCCTCACCTAGGATTGAAAAAGAGTTGAGTCGAACATGGACCTTGTGTTGATTGAACTCTTTTTCTTTCTTTCACTGCTCGAGTTCAAGCTCGACGAGGCTCGTGAAAAAAAAAATATATAATAAACCAGAATGTTGAAGCTCAACAGCTCGAGTTCATCTCGAAATTTTAACAAAAACAAATAAATAATTAAATAAATATAAATGTACTATATTTAAACCAAATAGATAAAATTTGACCTTGGTAAATATTGATATATACTACAAGGGGTATTTATGTAAATAAAAAATCGAGCGGCTTGTTGAAATTACGAGCCTCTTGAAATGATGCTTGAGGTTCGACTCGAACACTCGTGAGTCGCTCGATTCGTTTGCAGTCCTAGTCAAAACTTCTTTAACATGAAAGCATGAATATTATATACACAATATGAGATGTTAAGAAAACAATTTGAAAAAAATTGGTGAAGACGGGTGCAATCCTACTACATTTTGGAACGCACCATAGCAACGTGAACCTTGATGCACCATAGCATCCTAGAACCAATTGGTAGTAGATGAGTAACTCACTATGTTTATAAGTTAAGTCTTTTTTTCATTGTATAAATGATGCGGGACAACTCAAAAGTGACGTTCTCTAATACAATTATCCCCAAGGATCTTCATTCAATAGTCTCATATTTAATCAATTAAATTTATTTAACGGTGGAATCAGAAATATTGAAACAAAGTACAGCAGCGACACCCACTTTGTTTAAACTGATCAAAATAAAATTGAAGTGTTAATTTTCACTTACGAAACAAAATAGCTAAAAAAAACATATCTCGTGTTTAAAAATGACTATTTTTCATTCTCCTTCTGCAAGATGGCCAAATTGGACCATTTCAACATGTTGTTAATGTGGGCTCCCCAGTTATTAAGACTTATGATAAAAAAAATATAAAAAAAAAAGGAAAAAATAAATAAAATATTTTACACAAATTTGTTGATAACAGCCGTACGTGCAAAAAAGGAAAAAAAAAAAAAACAGTGAGACCACACAAATTAAACCACATATTTAGTAATTAAAATACAAAATCAGGAAATGTGAATTCTCCAGATAAAAAATAAAAAATAAAATAAATAAATAAATAAATAAATAAATAAATCTTTACTCGTTTGTAGTCGAAATAGGATTAATATTGTATAATTGTGGAATTAGTGGAGACATTAGATGATGATAACATGTTATATGTTTCTATCCAATTAATCTCTTTGATTGACTTTGGTGAGTGTGTCTTTAGACAATTGTTTGATCGGTTGCTAGCTAGCTAGAATTTAATTTCAACAACAATCAAGTTTATTAAATAATTATTACAAGATCTTCATACTTTTTAAAAAAAAAAAAAAATTAAACAAAAAATTCATATGTATATATTATGAAATGTCATATTTCTTTTAGTATGTTATTTAGATTATAAAAGTTCGGTTTGAAAGCATGCATATTTATGGACATGAGATCTAGTTTCAAAATTTACATTAAAAGTCGTAGTAAGATAATACGAGAAGTGAAACAGGAGATCTGATTCCAAACTTTATATTAAAAGTCGTGATAAGATCTACGTTTGAGTGAAACAGGAGATCTGATCTCAACCCTCTCTACAGCTAGGAATCTATTTTTTCCGAATCAATCAATACATTAATTTTTCATCAACCAAGAGTCAATATAAGATAAGATAATAAATATTATGTAACTAGTGATCAAGATCAACTATTCCAATCAGAAGTGAACATAAAGAATTGAAAATTCATATAGCAACTAAAAGATCAATATAAAATATCATTCAATTTGGAGATCTTGAATGATCAAAATTAGTAGGGAATCAAAATGGGTTGCTCCATCTAAATGTAGGGTTTTCAAACTTTTAATAAAACCATCTATGAGGAAAACATGTCCATAAGCCTTGATATCTCAAAATTCGACATTACTCAAATTATTTATAAGTTAGGGTTGGGTTTGAGTGTAAATTTACTATCGGAATCCTGGTCGGGTTGGGTTTGAGTTTAGTTAAATGAAACACAACTCATCTCGTTTACCTGACCTGATTACATGTCAAACAATTAAAATTAATAAAAAAATATTTATATTTATTTCTTCTTCTTCTTCTTGTTGTTGTTGTTTTCAAAACTAAAGACTGTGTTAATAAACACTATAAATACAAACTAGAACACAAGTGAAAATAGCCAAATCAATATATAAGCTAAATTAGTTGAATCTAGAGGAAGTCTAAACAACGGTAGCCTAGAACTGGTTACAAACAACCACCAACTAAACAAAAGTTATCTAACTAGCTCCCACGTCGAACACTCAAATAATGGAGAAAACTAATACAAAGTTAAACACAATAAAATGCAAAACAAACACAAAAACAACGAGTAAATAGACCCTCCTTGTTTTCCACACAACATGCCACCACAACCACCACATCAAACCAAAATTCAAAAACAACAACCCTAGTCGGATGAGACCGCAATCAAAACACTAAAATTTGATAACTTCGAAACAACTCATTCGGCCAGACAGATCTGTAAATTGCCGGAACCACCACAACTTTATATTGTCTCTAATCACCTTCACCTTCTTCAACAAGCTAGAGGCTCTGAATCCATACCCTAGGTGGGGGTGGGGGGGGAGGGGGCTGAGGATATATGTTATACTTAATGACTCATATAATTTTGCATTTGGTATCATATTTTATTATAGTTGCATTTTTTCTTAAAAAAAAAAATACTTATTTATTATAACTACATAAGTTTCATATATATAATCAATATATAATAATTAATAAAAAAATGATCTTACAATGTGTATTTTGATATACTTGAATTTCTCATAAGTACTTCAAGCTAGCTTTATTAAGTTGTCAATGCAAAAAGAAGTATATATATAAAAACATTTGTGGTATAACACTACAAGAAAAACTGCATTTGGCGACGCTTATTTTTTTGTTTACTGACGCTTATTTTTTTCTGACATCAAATTTTGCAACACAAATCGCCAATAAGCGTCTTTAATAAGCGTCGCCAAATGCAGTTTTTCTTGTAGTTGAAATATTAAAACTACTATTACGAGGAGTGAAACATGAGATCTGCTTCCACGTTACATTAAAAGTCGTGATAAGATATACGCTTGAGTAAAACAAGAAATCTGAACTCAACCCTCTCACAGCTGACAGCTGGAAAGCTACTTTTCCGAATCAATCAATACATTAGTTTTTCATTAACCAAGAGTCAATATAAGATAAGATAAGAAATATTAGGCAATTATCTTGTGATCAAGATCAAATATTCCAATCAAAAGTAAAGATAAAAGAATTAAAAAATCATATAGACAACTAAGGTCAAGATAAATTATCATTTTTTGGAGGTCTTGAATTATCTAAATCATTAGTGAATCAAACACTACATAAAATTGCTATATTCCAACGAAAAATCCAACGGTAATACATTCCAATAGAAATTTCGACGGATGTTCCAATGATATAGTTTTTATTTGAATTATTCCAGTGGAATGATTCCAATAAAGATTCCTACGAAAATATTTTGTTGGGATGAGTTTCCCATTAGAATTTTCGATGGAATTTGAATATTCTAACGGCCATTTTTCAACAGTTTATTACTGTAGGAATTTTTGTTAATTTTTTTTTTCACTAATGTAGCAACCATTGGAATTCTATCGTTGGGATCTTCAAAATTCAACAAAAATTTCAGTGGAAAATTCCATTCCAACGGATTTTTTATTTTTTGAAATTTCCGTTTGAATCCAGTGGAAAATTCCAACAGAAATAATAACATTGTAATATCCATTAGAATATACGTTCATTGGAATTTTATCATTTTTTGTAGTAAAAACGATTTGCTCCATCTAAATTAGGGTTTCCAAACTTTTCACAAAACCATTCAAAACACTAACTAAAGTATTTTAGTGCACAAAAGAGGCAAGTAGTAGAAACTATAAGAGAGATTTGTTTAATTGAATTTCAAATTAGAGTTTGTGCTAAATTTTGGTTTTAGTTTGTGTTGGGCCAACGGATGGAATTTAGAAAATATCCATTGCTGTTTAATTCTACCTTCGGCTCTACGACGGGCTGGCCCAATCGTTGGGCTATTATCATTGTTAGCCCGAACTACATCAATAGCAGTAGCCTACATAGTTCCGGAGAAAACATATCCATCCATAAGCCTTGATATCTCAAAATTGGGCATTACAATATAACATCACCCTCAGAAGATTTTTATTTTTATTTTTTTTCAAATGATAGAAATTTTATTGAACAAAAACCACATAATTATATCTAGAAAACGGCTCCAAAGCCGAAGGAACAGCTCAAAAGTCGAATCTACGAATCTAGTGGGAGGACAGATCCAGAGGATCGCCTAGAACAAACACATCAACTAACAACAAAAAACCAAAACAAAAAACCCTTAGAAGATTAGATGAGTCAAAAGTAAAAGGTAGAAGATGCACCTAGAGCTGAAGAATGCCATAAGGTTATACAAGTGATTAGGATCAATAAATTAAATCAATTATTTTGACCCATTAAGTTATATAAATGGAATGATAAAGTGAAACTAAACATATGAATCGATTTAAGTAAAATCAACTGTATAGGTCGATTAAGTGGCCTCATCAATGCAACAGCTTGTGCTGCATTCTTTGCAACAAGTACAAAGAGAACCAAGAACAAAACACAGCAAAACATTAGTATGACAAAGTGTCATCACTTTCACAAGGCAACAATCACGAAAACTCAAAAATAAGAAAGAAATGGCATTCATCTATCCACCTGCCCACACGGAAAAGAAAAATGGAGAGAGGATAAAAGAAAAAAAAACGAAAAAGAACTCTTCTGCACAACATGAAATGTACATCCTAGAAAGCTCCTCGAGGAAAAGAAGGCAACAGCCCGAGTTTTTTCCTGCAGTCACAGCTCTCCTCATCGTGAATAATAGTGTAATTCGAGCTGCTCACGTTTCGAAAATAACACGAGTTGTCGCTCGTGTACCGATATGCTTGCCGAGTGCTTCCCAATCCACTAACCACCAAACTGCCCTTCACGAGCACATTCCCCTCCGCACTCTGCATATTCTCCAGTTTGCTCGTAAATGTTCCAACACCCGAACACTCGTGCCTCCTTTCATTGAACCCCAAAGTCACATTCGCCATGGACTCGTAACTTTTATTGCCCTTGTCGATAATATCCGAATGAAGATAAAGCGTAAACTCCTTTTGGGAATCGAGATATTGAACGGTACTGGACGAAGCTTTTTTCATAACAACACTGCAGTTCGATTTTATAATCTGATTCAAAATCTGCAAATTCGCATCATTGCCCATCACCATTCGGTTGCTATAACCAAACTCTTGGACCGATTTAGTCGTGACGGACCCAAGCGACGATTTCACGCGCCCGGTAGAGATTATCGACCGGGTCGCGTTCGTGAGGAATAACCCATCGAACCCCGTGAAGTTCGAAAAGAGCATTAGGGAAATCGGAGACTCCTTGTGTTCCAATAGCTCCCCTTCGGTTCTCGCGCTCTTCTTGTCGAGCCAAAGATGCAAATTCCCGCCGAGGTACCAAACGTTGAGGGCATTTCTCACGCTAAACGAGAGTTTGTGCGTTTTCCCATCCAACAACTCGCCGAGAAAAGGTGTGATCTCGATATCGTACGAGGGGAGGTCGAACGAGCCTATTCCCGTAATGGGCCTCCACATGAGGGGGTTTACGCCCCCGGTGTAGATCACTGTGAAGGGCCAAATCGACCCTACTACATAATTATCGAGGCCCACGACCACCTCACGAAACGGGCCGTTCCCCGGGGATCCGGTGAGGTTATTCACGGAAATGTACTCGTTCGGGTAGTTCCCGAACCAGAACTCATCGTTTTCGTGGAAAGAGACGTATACTTCCAACACGGCCCGGAGTGCATTCTGGGGAATATCGAATTCCTTCGACTGCACATCTGTCGAGTTCTGGATCTCAAACCAGAGCCCGTCGTTCAGGGGAAGGGTCCTGGAAATGGGGATTATCAAATCAGCCCCAATTCCCCCAATTTCCACAAATTCGTCCTCACCATAACCACGATTCAATTTCTCAGCAGGATAGAAATGGAAAACAACATTCACATGGTACACGCCTGTGTAGATACTATCGATGAGATTTCCCAAGTAAACAGCAAGCGTCTGATTGGTCATGAGCAGAGAATGGTACCTTGTGACGTCCTTCTTCACCGTCCAGATAATGCCGGTGGCCCGAGGCTCGGCTGTGCAGCTGCGGAGGATCTCGACGCCGCCGAGCCAGACGCCGAAGATCCGATCGAATTGGCGGCCCTTGCAGGTCGCGGTCCACTCGAGCACGACTTTGGCAAATTTCTGGGAGCGGCAGCCGGAGGGGCGTTTGTAGTCGGCGAGGACTGG